CAGCCCTCCCCCCCCCGCCCCCCCCCAGGGCTCTGCTACCACCCCACGTGGAAAAGAAAAAGTGTGAAAACAGTGTAGTCAGCGAGGAAGTGATTACAAACCGATGCTCCAAATTCGCTATAAAATGAAAATCGATATTTCCACAAGTTGCTGCAACATTAACGATAACCTCCATTGATTTTTTTTTTCAAGACTTAGGGCCCCGGAGATAAAATCTAATATAAATTTTCAGCCGCACGGATTTGGATCAGAGCAGAGTTGGCTGAAGATAAGTTGGGTGCACATCTTTGAGAGTTAAGATTTTTTTAAACCCCCCCCCCCCTTTCAGTGGCTGTACTATTTATAATTGGCCCCGTGCAAGCAAAAGCCTCTATCAGGAATCTGTTCTAATTTTTATTACTGAGGAGCTAAAGCCTGTTCCAGATAATTTGGAAATTTCAGGGGAATTCTGATAGAGCTGATGGCACCGCCGGACTGACTCAAGAAAAGCGCTAACCTGTAATAGCCTGTGTGCCTGGGCTGATTAAATGTTGCCATAGATGAAAGACCTGCCATCACCGCAATAAATTAACCAATCACACAAATCCCAAGTCGCTACTAATCCTTCCTTGATACCATGATCCTCTGATCAGCTGAAGGAGGTAAAGAAGAAAGTGGCTTGTGACACTCAGATTTCTAACCCCTGGATTTTGTGTAAACAACCGGCTAATATCACACTGACCGTTTCACAACTGCTGGCTACTCTTAACCCTTAGTGCTCAGGACAGGTCAGACGCTATAAGCTCGTAATGCGCCGATGGGATCCTTGTAGCAAACCGTAATTTGCATTTACCATGAAGAAGTATCACTGCACAAATACTTATATTGAGAAATGAAGGAGTATAGTATGTCGCACGCCTAAGCATCCCTCCCTATTGCAACAAAACATTATAGCGATAACCTCTGACAGCAGTATCAGAAACACCCCCCCCCCCCCCCGGGAGAATGTAGCCTGAAGAATATGAAGAAAGCCTGCAGCCACCACCCAAATCGGAAATTACCCGATGTTCCGCCAGTGTGCAGGTGCACTTCGCGGCAAACTTGTAATACTGTAGCTACCCTGCTGTTAGCAGCCATATTGTGCACGGACACACTGGGTGTGCATCCTCCCCCTTCACCCCTAGGTGTGTCCCCGGTGCGGTACGAGGAGAGATGCCATGCTTTCCGTCCGTGCGATCGGCACAGCACCCCGACCAGGGCGAGGTGGCCCTTCCTGTGCGGAGGTGCTGCGGGGTGAATGCGGGACGCAGATCGGGGTATCCGGCACCAAGCATAACGCACTATATACTGATGCACAGCCATTTAACACCTTAACCGCTGCCTGCTCCTCTGAAGCAGAATAATTCACTGTCCTATCTAAAGGCATCACTGTCATTGACTCTCTTCATTTCTTTCCACAGGTGAATCTTGAATATTTTTTTTTCAGCATGAAGGAAAAAAGAAACGGACACGTTTTTATTCTTTATTCATCCACATTTCTTCTAAATTATGGACCGAGTACTCAAAACCCGAATGGTTTCTATAGTATATTGAGGATTATCCTGAAAAATTTGCAGTATGCCGTTATGAAAAATATTTACCTTTACTTTTATTGAAG